GATGGCCCAAAGCAGGGAAGGCAGTCTGTGCAAGGCGACCAGAAAATAGGGAAAGCCTTGGTGGGAGCAAAGCAAAAGGGTGAGGGGAGGAAAAGGACAAAAGAAAAAAGCTATTTGGGGAGTCTGGGGGGTTCTTTGTTTGAAAAGAAATCTGTTGTCATTTAAAGGAAATAGGACAGCCTAGACCATGCATCTCAGAATAAGACATGCTTCAAACTCTGTAGAATTCCTTTGGTAGGTGAGGGCATGGTTTAAAACAGGGGTGTATGTTTCATATCCCCCTATAATAGTAAACTGTTATTTACCTAGCACTTAACATTTCTTAAAACAATCTATGTTCATGGTCTTTTTGGAGTATTATCATAACTCTGTCAGATATGAAGGGTATTATTATCCCTATTTTACAGATATGGAAACTGAGTCTCAGAGAGGCTAAGTGACTTGTGGTTTTTTTGACTTCTGGGTCTCATTTGTTTGTGCATTCTTTTTTTTTCCCTTTGTCTCCATCTCTCTCTATTTCTGTCTCTCTCTGTCTGTGGCCTCCAAGCTACATGTGGTCCTCTAGGTTCTCAAGTGTGGCACTTTGAATCCAATCCACTTGAGGACTTGGAGGGCCACATGTGGCCTTCAGGCCGCAGGTTCCTTACTCCTGGTTAACCTCTTGGGTTCCCCCAGTTTCAGCAACCTCATCTTTAAAAGAGAATCCAAGTTAGCTAGTGATTTTGAAGGCTCTGAACAATAAAATTCCTTCAGCAGAAAAAGAGGTGTGTTGGAATGGATAGGAATGAAAGAGGTGACAAGGATATATCCTAAGAGTCATTAATAGTATCCAACAGTCACTATTGCACGTTGGATTAAGTACCAGCTTTGGAATGAGGAAGACTCGGGTTCAAATCCTGCCACTAACAAGTTAGCTATTTGACACTGAGCAAGTCATTAAATTGCTGGAGTCCCAGGCAACTAAAAGAAAGAGTTACAGAGGGTACATTGTTATGCATCTGTAGGGAGCGTGTTCATGCTGAGGATTCCCTAGGCTGAGGATGTCATGGGTATGAATTATTTGATGCATATGTGCACATGGGAGTATGTGTATACGTAACATACGTACACATGCATCCATCCATCTATTTATCTATCTCTCTAGTCTGAGACCCAACAGTCCTATTTTTTAGGCCTCACACTCTGACAGAGGCTATACAAAATACAAGAGAAACCAGGCCCCTGCCAGGTAATTCTGGGAAGGAGGTAGCCTATAGTTTTTTGTTTGTTTATTTGTTTTGGTTGAAGCTATTTTTGTTTTAATCAAATCATTTCCAATCTTTAAATATCATGTGTCTTGTCATCCAGTTTTCAAAGTTTCCTTGGCCAAAGTCATGGTGCCTTCCTAAAAGAAATAGAACAGAAAATTTAAGAGAGAGAGAGAGAGAGGAGAGAGAGAGAGAGAGAGAGAGAGAGAGAGAGAGAGAGAGAGAGAGAGAGATGGAGACAGAGAGAGACAGAGAGAAAGACAGAAACAGACAGAGACAGACAGACAGTGACAGAGGAAAAAAAAGAGAGAGAGAATGTACAAACCAAACCAGATTTAAGATGTGAACATTTGCTATTAGGAGTGCAGCATAACTGGATCTCTCAGCAATGCCTAGATACATAATCCATCTGGTTTTATATCCTATCCCCTAACATATGCACCTCCCTCCCATAGACGATAGCATGTTTTTTAAGCAGTTTGAAATTCATCCAAAGGTGCCATAAATTTGCAGAAAATGAAAGCAAGTAAAGCCTCCGCCCTGGACGCATTCTGGAGCAAGGCCCCAGGGTGAAGAGAACATGAATTCCCCCCAAATAGTCCTACTCACTCACACAGGCTTAGTGGCCTGATCAAAAGAAATCATAGACATCTTCCAGTTTTTTAATTGATCTAAGTGAAAAGAATCCAAAAGAAATCAACATCAACCAGAAACAATGGAGAAAGAGAAGAGAGGGTCAGTGTCACAACGCTCCCAATTACCTTCCTTTCTTCCTGAAATGTAGTTACCCTGAAGAGTGGTGGACGAATTTGTATTCTTTATTTGCACTCATTTCCTCTTCCATGATAAGAAAAAGAGGCATGTATCTAAACTATACTTCGGGGTTTTTGGAGGGAACATAAGGACATACACTTTTAAGATTTCTTTACATTTCCACAAAGTATTTCCTCAGAAATACTAAAGAACTCCAAACAGCCCAAGGACATCTTATTTTTTTTTTCTGAAAGCAACTTCACATGTGATGTCACACATGCGTGCACACGCACACACACACACACACACACACACACACACACACACACACACACACTCCCTTTCTGCAAATTCTTTACCAATTAGCATTATTTCCAAGAGGTACTGTTTTATATTAAGTTGTATTAATTTGGCAAGTCTTGGAAGAATATAGTAAGTCTGGTGAATCTCACTCCAGTCTTCACCAAACTTCTTCAAAGATGTAAAAGAAAGCAAAGATACCCACCAAAGGAGAAAGGGGGAAAAAAGAGAGGCACAGAATTAGGAGAAAATATATAGAACTATCCCAATTATTCTCCTATGCTGGAGTTGGAGTGGGGGTCATTCTGGATTCCACACCATGCAACTTAACATTCCAGAAAGCCTTTCTCTATATGACTTTATAGTATGATCCTTTCCCCTCCTCCCCCTGTTTCCAAGCACTAACATGAGGGGGATATCTTTACACATGGAGATTCCAAGAATGGGGTTTAAAAAAAAGTTAGGAACTCTATGACCCTCGTGGAGTTCTATAATGTGTCAGCAACATGCATTAACAGGTAAGGGGGAGAAACTGATAAGGCATCCTAGCAGCACCCTGTTATTTGATTACCCAAATATCAGCTTGGTTGTATAATGGATCTAACTTCTTTTAGAATGTCCCAGCAACTGATGGCTTTAGCTAGCTAGAAAATAACAAGATCCAGATGCTGCCTGTCTGCACAACTCTCAACTCTTTAGGACCCCAATACTGAGAAAGGGGAAAAATTTCTATGGGTATGTGTCTGTCTGCCTCATTCTCTTCTCCCCTCATGCATTCACATTTCACTGGCAAAGACTATCTTGCACACATCTTTAGTAAACTATGTGTGGTCTTCATTGTTGTCCAATAGTAACAGGTTAAAAAAAATGGATGACAATTTCATTCATCTTAAGCCGAAGTTTCATTTCTAAATATTTTTCCAAAGTAGAAAGCAAAGGCTAAAAAGACAGCATGATATTTCAAATATTTGGCAAAATGCAGCTACATGAGTAAAAAAGGGATGGTATATAATATTTTTCACACAATAGTTGAAAGCTTTATTTTTTTTTCAAAAAAAAAAAAGGGAAAGGAGTGTAAGGGGATGGATTATACATTTCCCCCCATTTTCCCCCATGTCCTTGCCTTTCTGGGGTTTTGAGGAAAGGCAACAATCGATGTTTCCCAATCCCCCGAGCAGTTTCAGCTAAAGGCTAAAGAGAACAGGAGAGCCAGGGAATGACGCTGCTGCATCGGCGGCAGAACAGCGAGAGCTAAGCACTCACAAAGGTAAAATACAACGCAAGTCGACCTTGGAGGGGCAGGGAGAGCCATCAGGCAATTAGAAAAAAAAAAGATAATAAGATAACAATAATGTTTAACACAGCACTAACATTCTGCACTGTCTGGCTGTCCACTCAGACTCGGTTCAATCAGATAGAGAATAAATGAAAGGGAACTGCATCATGAAGGGCAGGACTCTAATCTTATCAAGGGGTTCTGGGGACAATACGCTTCACTCACTCTGCATATTTATTTATTTTAAAGACTGAAGAGAAAGGCTACAAATGGAACAGGAAGATAATTGAATTATGAAGGAAATGTCATCTGAGCTCTAAAAACTTAAACTGTTCCAAAGTAGGGTGGTATTTTTTCCAAAGGGAAATCCTCATTTCCCCAGTATGCCCCCAAAAGAATCGGTTGTTTTGGATTATAAAAATGCACAGAGACCACATCTAATTGATTTGGCAATTCCTAGGTGTGATGTCACACCTGAGAATTATAATTGTGTCTGGATATCTCCATTGGCTCCAAAGTTCACATTTGGCACTGCCCTCCGCATGGTTACATAGGATATCCTTTGTGCAGTTAAGCACAGTACACTCTGGATCATCTGGGTACAGACAGTCATAAACTAAGGTATTTAACCAATTCGTGTCCAATTATTATCCATTATATTCCATTTCTTTACAAGACACAGGCCTGTTTTCCAAAACTGTGCTGACTGAGGAAGGGGAAGCAGTTTCTAAAAGTAGAAAGAATCTATTTTCAGAGTCTCTTAAATGTCATATGGAGTGTCCAGATCAGACCTCAATATTTAATGAAATATTAAACACATATTTTAAAATAATATCCATCTTCCCATTGATTTTGATTAGCTTCTCCTGAGCCCTTCCCACATCCTTGCCTCATTCCAAACTTGGGCGACTCAAAGTTTGAGATTCTTTCTACCCCCTCCCCCCATCAACCCAACACATCCTACCTAGTGGAAACCACGATTTCAAAGCTACAAACTCCTTGAATTCACACATAGCAACACTAAAATTGTAACTCATATACTCCCCATGGATGATCAGGGATTTGGAGGAAAATCTTCCCCTTAACCACCGCTGTCTACCTGTGATGGACAAGTGAGCCTTTAAACCAAGTTAAGCCCTCCGAAACAACAAAGGGACTGAACTGAAACTGCGATCCCCTATGGAATGAGAAATCTACAATTCTTACACTGGCTAGGTCTACCCTCCACTGCTCTCCTCCAGCCCCAGCACCCCTGTTCTGCCCATCGCCTTTGCCTGGTATTCTCCTGGTTGTGAAACATAGAAGGAAGGGGAGTGAGTGATGGGGAGGGGGGCACAGAGAGAGAGAAAGCAGTAACTGACTAAGTGCATAATGCAATCACATTGCCCCCGCTGGACAGACCCAGCAGGCAGCATGTGCCATACCTTGGTTTGGAGATAATGAGGATAGCAGTAAGTGTACTGAGGGTACATTTGTGGTTGCTCCAAACGTTTGCCCATGTAGCTGGAATCTTTATCTCCGATGCAGGGGAACTCAGTTGGCAGGGTGTAGTGCCCCGGGCCTTTCTTTCTCAAAAACACTATTCCTGACAGTGCTGATGACTGATGAAACTCCGAGACTTCCTTGTCTTTAGACTGCTCGCTAGTTCCAACACAGCAAGAATTTCAAAAGAGGGAGAGAAAAAGTCGGGGGCAGGAAAAAAATCCCCCACTCTCACCCCGCCAAATCTTGCCTTGGACCCCTGCCCGCCCCTGACCCCCTTCAGTTATGATCCGGGGCTTTTCCTCCTGTAACAGGCTGGTCTGTAGTAATGTCAATTTCCCCCGTTTGGAGGGCAGGGCAGGGGGGGTGGGAAGTCCTGGTACAGGAATCTGGAAGATTGTAAACTCCGAGCTGCAGACCTGCTTCCCTCTCTCTGTGTGTGTCTCTCCCTCTCTTGCTCTTTCTTTCTTTCTGTTTCTCTCTTCCACCACCAAAAGGAGAAAAAAAAAAAAAGAAAAATGGAAAAAAAAGGGGGAAAAAAAGAAAAAAGAAAAGAAGCTTTCTCCAGCTTAGTTGCCGCTGTCTCCCTCACAGAGTGACATGGTGTTTAAGGTTTGTCTTGTCTTTCATTCAAACCCCCTCCTTCCAGCCAGTGGGTGGAACTAGAGTGAGCCTCTCCCTGGAGAGGCAGACGCAGGCCAGAAGGCTGCAGTATTTCCTCCAAGAAAAAAAGGGAGAGAGAGGGAAGGAAGGGGGGAGGGAGAGAGGGAGGGAAGAGGGAGGGAGGGAGAGAGAGAGAGAGAGAGAGAGAGAGAGAGAGAGAGAGAGAGAGAGAGAGAGAGAGAGAGAGAGAGAGAGAGAGAGAGAGAGAGAGAGAGAAGGAAGGAAGAGAGAGGGAGAGAGGGAAGGAAGAGAGACAGAAGAGAGACAGGGGGAGAGAGGCTGCCCGCCTGCCCGCCTGCCTTCCTCAGTCCCTCCTGCAAGTGAAGTCTCGCTTCCCTCTGCTGGCTGTCTGGAAAAGCAAAGCCATGTTTCCAGGCAGGCAGCTGCTGGAGCCTGAGCTGAGGCACGATGGAGCCGAGGAGGCTGAGTTGGGCTGGGCTGGCCTGGGGAACTTCAGCGCCAGCAACCGATGGAGTATTGACTCTTTTGCCCACGCCGGGCAAACGGGAGCCGCCAGCCTGCCTCTCTCTCTCTCTCTCTCTCTCTCTCTCTCTCTCTCTCTCTCTCTCTCTCTCTCTCTCTCTCTCTTTAATTTTCATGCCTCCTCTTTTTTTTTTCTTTGTTTCTTTTCTTTTTCTTTTTTCTTTTTTTTTTGGCGGGGGGGGAGTGAGAGGCAGCAAGTTAGGAGAAAAACCAAACAACCAAGTAAAATAGAAAAGACTATGAAAGGAGAAGGAAAAAAGTATAAGAGGGAATGGAGGAGGAGGAGAAAAGGGGTATCCCTGGAAAGAATGCCTGGTGAATGTATGAGAAAGAGGAGAAAGGAGAGAGGGAGAAGAGAGAGGGAAAAGAAAGAATAAAAGAAAGGGAAGATGGAGAGAATGAGGGGAGAGAGAAGAGAATGAAAGAGGGAGAGGAGTGGGGAGAGGAGAAAGAAAAGAGAAAGGAAAAGAAAAAGTAGGTAAAGAGAGGAGGAAGAAGAAAAAAGAGGAAAAAATAAGAGAGGGAAATGAGAGAAGAAAGGAAGAGGAGAAAAAGAGAGGCAAAGAGGAGAGAGAGGAAAGGGAGATAAAATGAGAAAAAGAAAATAGTGAGGAAGAGAAAGGAGAGAGAGAGAGAGAGAGAGAGAGAGAGAGAGAGAGAGAGAGAGAGAGAGAGAGAGAGAGAGAGACTAACCTTGCTGCTTTCAGGGGAGAGGGGGATGCCTTAATGGTTAGAAATAAACCTGTTAACACACTAGAACCAGATGCTTCCTGAATCAAAGCTCAGGTCAAGGGGCTAACCCTTCTTCTCCTGGGGAGCTCAGAAGACTGAGAAGGGCTGTGGAAATGTAAAGCCTATTTTGGAAGGTTAGTATCCAATAGAAACATGAGATTTCAGATTTTCTTAGCCATTAAGCAAGAAAAGAAAAGAAAAGCAAAAGAAAGATCTCTTAGGTTCATTGGATTCTTTTTTATCACCATGCTTATCTCAAATTATATCCCTGCATAATTAATTTGATTCATGTATCAGATTATTGGTGGCTTCACTGACAATTATTTCTAAATAAAAAAAAGTATAATTACTAGGCTGATTTTTTTTTACTAATAATATGTAATATTCCTACATGACAGTCAGCTGCTATATTATAATACAAATTGTTTCAGGAGAAAATGTATTTCCTTAAAGGGACCCTTTTCAAGGCAGGCAAGGCTAAAATTAGACCCGCCAGCTGTGTTTTTCTTTTGGGTGCTGGCGCATGCCCGTGGCATAGGCACACCAATGGGCTTTATATTCTTGGGAGTAGGCAAGAAAGTGAAAGGTCTAAGAGAGGTCTTCTGTTAGGGGACAGGTTCCTATGCTGTCCTATTACCAAATGGATGAGAACAGAGGAGACAAGCAGAACAGACACGCATGGCAAATATATGGATCTACCATCACTGGAGGAGTCATTTGCTCATCCAGGCAATTATTGGTTTGAAGGTAGAAAGGTCATAAACTACAGATACGAAATGTTGCATACGGTGTACTGCCAGATTTAGTCACTTGACAGTTTCTTTTGCTTAATTGATTTTCTTTGTTACAATAGTGGAGGTAGGTCTATGACGATGCTGTAAACATCAATAAAATTTTGTTAAAAAAACACAAGGATGTGTGTGTGTGTGTGTGTGTGTGTGTGTGTGTGTGTGTGTGTGTGTTTGCGTTTATATGTATGGGGAGAAGAGAGAAGTGACAGGTCAATCTAATTCCTTTAGACCAAAACCATACCTCCCCCCCAAAAAAAGTTGGAAATGCTAATGTCTTTATAACACGCAGTAGAAAGTCTAAGTTCCAATAGCCACTTCATCCTTTACCAGCTATGTGAGCCAGGGCAAATTACTTAAACCCTCTATACTTCAAGTATGTCATTTAGAAAACAGGGATAATCATCTCTGACCTGCCTTCATACAGAAAGTGGAACTAGTAACACTGGCATGTTCATAACAATAACACACACTGCTTCTCCTGAGGTCAGTTTCAGCTCTAAGAGCCAAGATTCCATGGGTCTAAATTGCTATGGTTGGTGGTCGAATCAGACATGCTCTTGACATTGACACATCTGCTAATGCCTCAGGAGGCCAAGTCACACATAGCAAGCATCTCAGGAAAGTTCCCGGCACTTTACTAACACCACCATGGGTTCCCACACAAACCATCACACTCCACAAAAACATATCCCACTCCAATGGGTAACTGACATCTTTGAGGCACCAACTGTCGTAGCCTAAGATGTCCCTTTCCACTTTGAAATCTTCACTGAAGTAACACGTGGAGATCCAATGTGGCTTTTACACTCGTGAAAATTAAGTCTCCCACTGATATCAGTAGTCATGGCAATCTGGGTGTCCCGTCATTCAACTCAGTCAGTTTTTAAATCTTTTCTGCTCTATTGGACAGGTGTTGCTTTCCATTTAAATGATCAAGTTAAGGTAAGCACTAACTGGTTTAAGGTAGTATCTAAATTGGAGCCCAGCTGTGCTCCATTTTCAGGCTAACCAACAACTCTTGTACAGTTCCAAGGATGGTAAAATGAATCAAGAATTCTGACTCTTCCTGGTTACACCTGATTTATAATCTAGTCTGGAGAGGCATAAGTTCAAGACAACTCAGTCATTACTCTGATAGAGACCCAGGGTCAGACATATCAGCTTACTTTTTTTTTTTTGGTAAACAGTATTTTATTTTTCCAATTACATGTAAAGATAGTTTTGAACATTCATGTTTTATAAGATTTTGAGTTTCATTTTTTTCCTCCCTTCTCCCTCCCCACCCCATTCCCCAAGACAGCAAGCAACTGATACAGGTTATACATGTACAATCAAGACATATCAACTTATAAAGGGCATGTGATGAGGATCAATGAGAATAGAATGTGGGGGGAGGGAGACAGAGACAGCGAGACAGAAATAAAGAGAGAATGTAATAATATAATTAGTCCTATTGAAGACTGTTAAAAGTAGCTAGTTTTTAGTTAAATACATTTTAGTTAAATCTATTTCCTTTTTAGTTAAATGTATTTCTCATACACTCATATACAAATGTGTTTCTCATACACTCATATAAATGCAAAGGAAAGATGTGATATGACTAAGGAAAGCCATGGTGGATAAGGAGGTAGTAATCTAAGGAAGCTGCTTATCATGTTGTTCTTGTTGGGTTGTGTCCAATTCTTTGCGACCCTATCTGGGGTTTTCTTGGCAAAGACACGGTGGTTGGCTCTTCCTTCTCCAGCTCATGTTATAGATGAGGAATTCAGGCAAACCCTTAAGTGACTTGACCAGAGGCACCCAGTCAGTAAGTGCCCCTGGTAGTTATCCTGGCAAAGGATTCTCCTTATTAAAACAGATGCAAATAACTGCCCATGGAAAAATATCATTGTTTAGGAAAATGAGCATTTCACATTTTTTTATATTGCAATCATAGAGTAGAACAAAAGTCCCTCTAGAAGTAGGAGTACTGGGTTCAAATTTCACCCAGGATGCTTAGTACCCATGTGACCTTGGGCAAGTCATTGAAGCTCTCTAAGCCTCAGTTTCTCCATCTGTAAAATTAGGAGATTGTACTAGATGCCTATCCAGCTCTGTCTATGAACCTCTGATTCTGGGAAGTCATGGAGGACCTGGATAGACATTGTTTAAAAGAACAGCCCCCTCCTCCATTTCTTACCCTTTCCATTCAGATATGAGAATCCTGTATACAAACACATAGCAATTGCACTTTAAGAAAAGTGTTAGGTTAAATGAAGATCACAGAAAGATAACAGGCTATCTGGTCTGAATAAGCAGCAGCACTTTTGCTTCAATATTTTGTTGATTTTTGTTTGTTTGCTTGTTTGTTTGTTTGTTTCTGGAAGTACCATTGAGTGTGGGACAGGAAATTCAGCGAAAGCTCCAGTTGAAGTTGGTACCTAATGAAGCCCAGGCTTGTATTTCAAATCTTACCGTTTAAGCAGAGAAGAAAGTACTAAGTATTTGATTTGACCATGAGAGTACCTGGTCAAAAATCTTTAATGGCTCCCTATTTCTTTTAGGAAAAAAAAATACAAAATTCTTAGCTTGCTACTTACATACTTCCAAAATCTGGCTCCCAACTATCAGCCTTATTACACCCCTACTTATACTATACATTCCAGTCAAACTGGCTGGCTTGCTCCTCCTCCTTCATCTCTCGATGGATTTCCTCCTCACCCTCCATCTCTCAGAGCCCCTATCTTTGTTTGAGGCCTACTGAGGTATCACCCCCTCCACCAAGCCTTTCCTGATTCCCTAAACTGTAATCTGGTTTCCTTCTGGAAATTAGTTGGTATTGACTTCTCTGTGTATTTGTTGTATCTCCCCAGCTGAATGTAAGCTTCTTCAAAGCAGGGCTATTTCACATTTGTCTTTGTATCACTAGTGCCCAGCAAAGGGCCTGGCACAGAGGAGACGTCTAATTTTCTTTAATCAACTTGAAGATACTTTTGGAAGAAAAATCTAAGTCATGGGAATAACAAGTGAAATAAACTAAAAAAAGAAAACAATGGCTTTGATCACGTGTGCCAATAGAGTATAGAAGAGGCACGAAATGAGT